GTAGCAGTAAATGCAACTATGTTCTGTATTAATTGTTAGATAGCGCTTACGTGCACAAGTCCACGAATTATAGTGATTGTTATGTTTAAAACAGACTATTTTAATAGTGATTTGAAATAATATTTCAACTGAATTTTTGATTAGAATGCTTTATTTCTTTAAACCCAGAAAAATACATAATTAAAATGGAAAACATCTGGAGGGTCCCCCCAACTGTTTTTATAATTTTTTCGAATATTTAAAAGATAAATGTTTTTTATTGCAAAAACAGTTAACCACAGGTTTGATTCCAAACTAATTTTTAATTTAACGTGTCCGCGTTCGTAGGATCGGTCGCGAGTAGCGTAAGATTTGTCGAGTAGCATAAGATGCGTCGCGATCGCGAGTAGCGTGAGATCTGTCGCGAGTAGCGTAAGATCTGTCAAAAGCCCGTTAGGTTTGGTTAGGATAGGTTGGACAGTTTAGTGACGGGGAACCCTCCCTCTAGGGCCTACTTTTTAAAAACCACTGAGGCAATAACATATTGGAATTAATGATGCACTTGAATGCGGAATAGTTATTTTTCATAGGTTTGCCAAAATAGTTTCTTTCGTTGAACACGCGTGCAGAACGTTACACAAATCAAACATTACGAGCGCACTCAGATTAAAGGTTCTTATTTGACTTTATTTCTTTTCCCGGGTTATAAACCAGATATATAGTTAGTACGATATGGCGACAGATGCCGCTAGGGGCGGAAGGGGAATAACCTGTCAGTACACACTGCGTGATTCAGATACATGATGTATAAATTTTTTTAAATATTCGAATAGAAAGAATTGCATATTTAATAGTGTCCCTATTCACGTTAGAATTACGCGACATTGTTTCAAGATCTAATATATTTACAGTTCTCCGCCTGATCATGCTTTATTAGTTTGAGACCACCGGGACCCTCTACGAGCAGTAGGGGTCTGATGGGAGAAAATTACAAAATTACAATTTTTTTCCGTTTTTTACAAAATGCAAAAATTGCCTTCAGGGTTTGATACGGCCATCCTGACGTCACCGTACCCGAACCATACCCCGAATCATCTTCTCTAAGGACCCCTTCCCCGTTTTCAGCGCACGGGGTACCCCGGGATCCGTTCACACGTTAGGATTTGGACGCCAAAAATACATGTTTTACTAAAAATGCAAATTATCGATACTCAGGGCACTGTAGGGCACTCGCGTCTTGTCCGTATGAACTGTAGTGACTTAAAATCGATTACTAGATGGTGTCTTTTCGTCGCAGGAACCCACCAGTATGTAGACAATCGGACGAAGAGACCTTTAGAACGCTATTAGCACTGTAAATCTCGTTAATCTGGAGTTAAAACGTCTTTTAGGCCGTAAATGGCTCGTCTGGATTAACGACAGAAGGTGGTTGCACGTTTATAAGGGTTATTCTTATCCATTGTGTAGATTCTCATTTCCTTTCTCACCGTTATGTCCGTTTGCAACGGCCCAGGGAACATACTTTCGTTTGGTGCGCTGGTAGAGCTGAGCCCCCCGTAGACAGGCCCCTGTTTCGTTTGTCTCCGTTATGGTAGTTTCTCACTACCGTTAAAATTTGCGTAGGACTGCCTGCGACAGCCGCAGGGACATGTAACGCCAGTCGACCAATTTTGGAAGTGATGCCTTCTTACAGGTAAACATTTACCTTTGTTCTGGCGTACTGTACCTTCGCGATTTGCTCCATTCTCCTGCGTACAGTATCAAGGTGTCAACTTATACACGCGCTGCAGGAAAAATCCACGGGAAAAAATACAGGCACAGTCTAGTAGAACATTTGCCTGGTACCACAATACCTCAGCCAGTACGGCTTTTGGGGTACGGAGTACGGTTTTTCATGACATAGGATCTCATGGGAAGCACGGTTTTTGGGTACAGCTGTTCTGTACATCGTGTGGTACGGTCTAGCCGTACCTTTTTCCTTGAAATGAACGGCCTTTTAAACAGTGTGTCGCAGCCCCACCTGTGGTTGGGTGGGTAAGGAAGGTGGTGAATCTCGACGTGCTGCCACCTTCTCGTGGTGAGGGCTGAGTCGTCTCGGATTTTCCGGGCGAGCCAAGAGCAGTACAGTGGAAACCGAATGTTTGGAAAACGGATTTAACCGAACCTTCAATGGAAATAGCGTTCTAAAGGTCTCTCCATCCGATTGTTAATATACTGGTAGGTGCCTGTGACGCAAAGACACCATCTAGTAATCGATTTTGATTCACTACAGTTCATACGGACGAGACGAAGGCCCTACAGTGCCCTGAGTATCGATAATTTGCATTATTAGTAAAACATGTGTTTTCGGCGTCCAAATCCTAACGTGTGAACGGATCCCGGGGTACCCCGTGCGCTGAAAACGGGGAAGGGGTCCTTAGAGAAGATGATTCGGGGTATGGTTCGGGTACGGTGACGTCAGGATGGCCGTATCAAACCCTGAAGGCAATTTTTGCATTTTGTAAAAAACGGAAAAAAATTGTAATTATGTAATTTTCTCCCATCAGTCCCCTACTGCTCGTAGAGGGTCCCGGTGGTCTTAAACTAATAAAGCATGATCAGACGTTTCCATTTCCGTCTCGGAAACATCATTTGGACATCAGGTTCAGTTTCTATGGCTGTTTTTAGAAAAACCCGTGAAAGTCGAATTCTTGAATTTTCAACGTCGATGCGCGAGGGTCAAGCTTCAAGTTACAGACCTGGCCCAGATCGCGTTGAGTTTGTATTGCCATGGAGTAACTTTGGCGCGCTATTACGTTTGCGATATCGAAAAATCGTGTTTTACGGCCCACCCTAGTAGGGGCCGGGGCCAGACTGTGCCCCCTGCGTGCGCCCTTCGTCACTCCGACCCACGCCCAGGCGGAGACGAGCGGACCTCAGCGGTTTGGGCGCGGGGCATCGCCGAGCCCGGCCTAGGAGCGGGGTATCGCCAAACACGCCCTAACTAGACAGCCGGAAACCGGCAACACGCGGGCAAACATAAATAATTTGATCAATTTGATATGCCATTGGAGCATGTTTATTTGTTTTTTACATTTTTTATGTTCGCGTCGCTCGTTCGCTCGCGGTATCAGTTTCTTTGGAAATTTCAAAAAATTTCAAAAAAATCTTTAAATTGTGATAATTTATTCCCATTTCCCGAGGGAACTGTTGTGTTGCTTTAGGCAGCGACAATAGGGTCGTTTGTATAAGGTTTTAGCGAAAAATGAGGTTTAGGGGCGGCAGGGCGCGTGTAATCGAAGGCGTGTTGACAAGGTGTTCGGGACAGGGGGGGTTTAGACAAAGTTGTAGATAGACACGACCTTGGAAAGCTGGTGTGGTCATGACTTTGGGTAGACAGGAGCTTTGCGAGTGGCAAGGGGTGCCGAAACTGTGTGGTACAGCCAAGGAGCGAACGTTACCTAACCTAACCCATCCAAACCTGAAACAACCTAACCTAACTTAACCTAACCCAACCTTACCTAACGTAACCTAGCCTAACCTAACCCTACCAAACCCAACCTAACTTACCCTAACCTAACGTAACCTTACCCAACCTAACCTAACCCAACGTAACCTAACCCAACGTAACCTAACCTAACCTAACCCAACCTAACCGAACCTAACCCAATCTAACCGAACCTAACCTAACGTAACCTAAAGTAACCTAACCCAACTTAACCTAATCATTTACAGGGGGTCCGGACAGGGGGGTCCGGACGGGGGGGTCCGGACAGGGGGTCCGGAAAGGGGGTCCGGACAGGGGGGTCCGGACAGGGGGGTCCGGACAAGGCTTCAGACAGACACGAGCTTTTTGGGCGCTAAGGAGGGTCCGGACAGGGGGGGTCCGGACAGGAAGTCCGGACAAGGCTTCAGACAGACACGAGCTTTTTGGGCGCTAAGGGGGATTCGGTGAGGGGGGTCCGGACAGGGGGGTCCGGACAAGGCTTCAGACAGACACGAGCTTTTGGGCGCTAAGGGGGGTCCGGACAGGGGGGTCCGGACAGGGGGGTCCGGACAGGGGGGTCTGGACAGGGGGGTCCGGACAGGGGGGTCCGGACAAGGCTTCAGACAGACACGAGCTTTTGGGCGCTAAGGGGGGTCCGGACAGGGGGTCCGGACAGGGGGGTGCGGACAGGGGGGTTCCGGACAAGGCTTCAGACGGACACGAGCTTTTGGGCGCTAAGGAGGGCCCGGACAGGGGGTCCGGACAGGGGGGTCCGGACAAGGCTTCAGACAGACACGAGCTTTGGGCGCTAAGGGGGGTCCGGACAGGGGGGTCCGGACAGGGGGGTGCGGACAGGGGGGGTTCGGACAAGCTTCAGACGGACACGAGCTTTTGGGCGCTAAGGAGGGCCCGGACAGGGGGGTCCGGACAGGGGGGTCCGGACAAGGCTTCAGACAGACACGAGCTTTGGGCGCTAAGGGGGGTCCGGACAGGGGGATCCGGACAAGGCTTCAGACAGACACGAGCTTTTGGGCGCTAAGGGGGGTCCGGACAGGGGGGTCCGGACAAGGCTTCAGACAGACATGAGCTTTTGGGCGCTAAGGGGGGTCCGGACAGGGGGGTCCGGACAAGGCTTCAGACAGACACGAGCAGATCTTAGGGGATGAGTGGCGCTCCGCTGAGTTCGCTCGCTGCCGCTCGCGAACTCGCTCCGCGAACAACAGGGCAGGGCATAACCGAGCCTAAGGGGTCTTTCCGCCACTTTCCGTAACACTAGTCTGTTTCTGTCTGTTTCAGATGAGTCTCTTTGCTTCATTTAACGAGGTGGCGGCCTCACAAGCGCAGCGGCGGCAATATAAAAAAATCACAGAGCTAATGCCGCTGCAATTGTACAAAGTGGCCGCATTGGAAGCGGCCGAGACATCGTTGGGAAAAACTATCAAGGCAAGCCTTGATAGTGCCGGATGGCATGGCCATATTCGTGTACATAAATATTGACTTGCCGCCGGAGGCCTGTAACGAGGCCAATACTTTGGCTAGAGACAAAACACCAGCGTTCTTTACGACAGCATATGGAAGAGGGCGCCGTGTCAACGGCCTCATTCCATTCGGTAAGTTTTCAACCAACCAATATCGTTTTGCAGCTATTCACACGATTCCTCATTCCTTTACTGATCATTGCGTTTTCCTTACGCAGGAACTGAAATAGCGCGTATCTTCAGCGCAAACGAGAAGGTAAAAAAGAATCTGCTACCTCCCCAATTGCAAGAAGCATTTCAAGCAACTGGTAAGACACCTCTTCAACCTTTTCCTCCTATCATTTCTGATTCGTATATGTTTACAAATTATACAATGCTTACGCATGCTTTTTTCAGGGCTGATGATGTAAACCAATTTACTACGACCACCTTGTGCCATTTATGTAACCATTTCAGTTATTACTCAAGCTAATTTCATTTGTAAAATAAAAATTAAGAGTTTTTTTTTTTTAATTACTGAAAAAGTACCTCATAAGTAGGGAACTCTATGATATTTCTGAATTCTGAATGTTGTTTGTCTTTTATTTTTCACACTCTTATTGTTGACCCAGAATTGTGCATCTGCAGATGTATATGTACCCTTCTAAGAAATAAATACAAATATAAATACAAAGAAACTCACTTGTATAGAAGTGTGCCATCCCACCACCTAAACCCGTCACTCCACAAATAAAAAAGTCACCAAACAGGTTGTTTCGTACCATTCAAAAATTTTTCAAGCCTTGGACATCCCCCTTTTCCTTACTTTCGTTCGTTTTTTAAAATTTTAAAGGGTTAGCTTTTTTTAAGGGCTGTTTATGAAAACCTTTTTCAGGACCACCGGGCCAAAATTTATGAAATTTAAGAAATTTAAAGGGCTATTTCTTTGAAAATAAAATTTAAGGGGGTTTATTAAAAAAACCTCTTGGGAAATCTTGAACAAAACAAATGTTTGCCTTTTTTTTTCACCCAGGGTTGGCTTGGCAAAAACCCCTTCAAAAAATTTTTAAATCCAAATTTCAGAAACCTATTGAAGGTGTGTCCCCCCCTGGGCCCATCCACAATTAAAAAATCCCAACAAGCCGCCCATACCTTTTAAAAAATTTTTTCCCATCACGAAGGGAAGCTTAAAAAGGTTTTTTTTCTTTTGGGTACTTTAATCTGTTACTGTTGCTTTTTGCACCCCAAAGTTTAAAAACCGGCCTATTTTTTTTTTCCGCCTCCAAAATTTAAAGGGTTTAAAAAAAAATCTTAAACCCGGGGAAAGCGGGGAAAAATCCATCGTTTTTCCCACCAGGGGGGCGGCCAAAACCCGACCCCTTTAATCCTTGGGGAGGGAAGCCAGCGTGGGGGGCCTGGCCCTCCAAAGAAAATCCCCGGAAAAAAAGGCACTGGAAAAAAACCCACGGGAAAACCCAAAATTTTTTCCCGGGATTTACTGTAATTCGGGACCCCCAATTTTAAACCGTCCCTTTTGGTTCCGCCTTTATTTTATGGTTACAAGGAATCCGTAAAAAATCCGGGGTTTTAACCAGTAAACCCAAAAAAATTCCGGGTGGGACCTTGCCCTTTTTCCCCTTGTACTCGGGGAACACCAGTAACGCGTCCTAAACGAAGGTTTCCCCCCGTGTTTTTTCAAAGTGGGTGGCCCCAGGGATGTTGCAGGAGCTCATCGACGACATCGGAGACGGACATTATTCCAGGGGGCGGCAACGGCCTAGGTCCTAGGCCCTAGGTCCTAGGAAGCGCGTGAAGCCATGCGCGAGTAAGGTGCATTGGTTACTTATTTTGCTTCGATTGTAACATCTAGCCCGTTGATTGCAAAACGTTTTGCACAGATCAAAAGAGCACAAAATTTGGGGTGGATTAGGCCTAGTAGACTGCCCGATACTTCCAATTCAACCGGACACAAGGGTGGAACCATTAACATCAACATGGCGCATTCGAGTTTTTCCTAAATTTTATGATTTCTCGTGTTTGTAGGTGTTTTAACTGCACCTTAATAACAGGTAAGGTGAGAGTTTGGAGAAGAGCAATTAGCCTAATGCACCCTAAATTTCAAGCCCTTTCCATCGAAGCAAAGCGTTTTGAAGAACACAGTCTAGTTTTCATAATCTCGAACAAGTGCGCAACCTCTGCACTGACGGCGCGAGCATCGCTTCACGCTCTTCCTAGGCCGTTGCCACCCCCTGATTATTCTCTGATCGTCGATGAGTCTACGGACACTACGACCGTCAAGCACATGGCCTTAATGGTGCGCTACTTTTGCGCCAAGGAGAAGGCCATGCTGACGGACTTCCTGGGGCTGGTGGAAACGCCACGGACAACAGCGGAGGACCTATACCGGGCCGTCACGGAGTTCCTCCAGCTTGTGGGCCTAAACGTCAAGAAGATGTTTGCCGGGGACCGATGGCGCCTCCAACTTGTGCGGCTCGAACCACTCGTTGTACGCCCTCCTGAAAAGGAGGGACGTACCGGAGCTGCATTTAGTCAAGTGCATCTGCCACGCTCTTGACAAATGCAGCAGCAGTGCAGGCCGCACTTTGCCAGGGTCCCTGGAAATGATCATTCGGGAGTCCCGGAATTGGTTCTCCCACAGCGCTTTGCGCAAGGTACAATACAACGAGCTGTACCAGGTAATATTTAAATAACAAGAACCAACATTTTAAATTACTTTTCCCCCTTAGAGTGACTTACTGGCTTTTATTTATTTCTAGACACTCACTGGAAAGGAAAGGCCACCCCACCTGGTGCGTCTGGCCACGACGCGCTGGCTGTCATGGTACGGTGCTGTTAAGTCACACGCAGAACAGTACGACGCGCTGCGTACCCTGTTTCGCAGTGTAGCGGACCAGGACCCGAACCATGACTGCCCGATGTCACACCACCTGGCCAATCTCCATGAAGATGGTACGCATCGGGTGTACTTGGCGTTCCTTCAGCCCATCCTGCGGGAAATCGCCTCCTTGAACGTGGCATTCCAACGAGGGTACGCGGACATCAGCAAGGTGTACGCTGACCTCCGCCTGTTCATTGATACAATGGCGAGGCGTATTCTCAAGAAGGAGGCGATCCGCCTTACGCAGCCTGGAGGGATGGTGAACTTGACAGAGATGCAGGCGCTAAAAATGGCCATGCTTCGAGAAGAAAACCACTTGCCGCTGGAGCTGGTAAAATACACCGACGGCGAAGCGTTTTATCGGACAATGTTGGAGGAGGGTCTTGATGATGACCAAAGGACGGCCGTTAAGACTGCGTGCAAGAACTTTTTGCACGCATTTGTAACAGAACTCCTGAACAGATTGCCCTCGTGCGTGGAAGGGGTGACGAAGATGAAGGCCTTTACGCCCTCCATGGCGCTGGACACTGTACGGGGCAGGCCAAGCTTTAGTGCCCTGCCGAGGGACCTCGTCAGTACGTATGCCACTCAATGTCAGCCCTCGTCGCTCTGCAGGCTGATTCCGACCACTTCTCCGCACTTCTCTCATCGCTATTTCTCTCGTACTCCTGGGGCGCCCCGTAACGGAGCGAGAGAGACAGCGCGGAAGCAGTGTTCGGAATCAGTCCGCTGTCTCTCTCGCACACTGGTAAAACAAAGGCATAAAAATTACGCCCTTTAGGGCATAAATACTCTTTTACGCCCTTGCAAGGGCATAAATCGTTTTATGCCCTTGGGAAGGGCGTAAATGGTATAGGAATTTCAAGCAAAATTTTAATGCCCTTCCCAAAGGCATAAACGATTTATGCCCTTTAAGGGCGTAAATCGTTGACGCCCTTAAAGGGCATAATTTTTATGCCTTTGTTTCACCAGTGCACTCATGGAGTGCACCGTTGGAGTGCGAACGAGTGCGAGAGAGACGGAGCGTCGAGCCCGAGCATCGGAATCGACCAGCTGTTTCGTGACTTTTGATAATGTGCTGTTTTAACTTTGATTCTGTTGCTTTCAGAGCACAGTGCAGCAGAGCAGGAGCTACTTGCCTGTCAATGGGAGAAGTTGGCTTCAATGTCCTTCGAAGATATATGCCCGAACGAGGAAAATGTGGGGTCAGTGGACATTGTCAAGTTTTGGGCGGCTGTGGGCGAAGTGAAGAATGGCGCTGGCGCCTTCGTGTTCAAGGAGCTGGCGAGCTTCGTCTTGAGCTGCCTCACCCTGCCTCTTAGCAATGCAGTGGTGGAACGGCTCTTCAGTGTCCTGGCCGTTGTGAAGACCAAGCTTCGCAACAGGATGGGCCTGGAGATGCTGAGCGCCATTTTGCGCATCAGGACACATCTTCACGTAAGTCGACCCTATTCTCTTAAGAATGCGTTAACTAGTCGACCCGTCAAGAAATTATAACTTTCTCGGCGTCTACAAGACATCCTCCACGTGGAGCTGCGCGACGCACGTATGAGCACGGACGCCGAGCACCTCGACAAGCTGACGGAGTACCTGCACAAGCACAACCCGTTCAACGGGCAGTAGTCGAGTGAACTGTGACGACGCCGGAGCGCCTGGGCCGGGCTGCCCTGGACAAGATGGCCGGCGAGAACTTCGCCGCACTTTCCATCAGCCGCAAGGACCGCATTATCACCCTAGCGGAGAACCAGCCTGCCCTCAGGAAGAAGCCGGCCGCTGAGGTGAGTGTCACGAAAACACATGTAATCATTTCCTCGCAGCGGCTGTATCGGTTTAGATTTAAAACGCTCTGCTGTTTGCTTAACAGCTAAACAGCGCCGAGTACCTCCGTATGGCCCTGAGGTGCGCCATGACAGAGGAGCTCGGCAAGCAGCAGGAGAAGCTGAGGGAGTACATGGCGTATGAGCACGCCGTCATGCCTCCAGCCCTTTTCGACAAGCACGGGCTCATGCGCTCAGCGGCTGAGTACGAGTTGGTCTCAAGGTTGTGCCCAGGATCAGACCTCCCCGCCGCGGCCGAGGACGCCGTCAGCGACGCCCACGACGACGTCGATGACGTGGAAGCCGTTGCGGACAGCGCTGGGACTTCCCCCGGTGATGTGCCCGCCCCGGCCGGCCCCTCCCCGGCCGACTACAAAGAAGAAGCTGTGGGAGGACGTTGGGAGTGAGATGTTAAAGATGGGGTTTTGCTTTGGTACTCGAGATGCTGGTAAAGTTTGTGGCCAGAAGTGGAGGAACATGGAGAGCGAAACGCTTAGAGTAATTGCAGCTGCTGGCCCCAAAAATACTGGAGGAGCCCAGGTGAAGCGGCCTGCGTATTTCGACGAAATCCACGACATCATTAAGGACAAGGCAAAGGCCATCCCAAAGAGTTTAGAGGAGTCGTTGAAAATCATAAAGGCGGCATGCCAATCAGACAGCATTCAGGAAGTTGTGGCTTGGAATGAAGGCAGACGGTAAAAAAACATCCGATGACGATATGTCTAAAGCCTTCAACTGCTGACAAATTTAAAAAATTTAAAAAATGAATA